GTCGCCCCTATGGAGGGTTTTGCCCGCGGGCGCAACGATTGCAGGTGCCACTGCCCTGCGGTGCCTCAGCTCGCGGGCGAAACGGCCGCAGGCGCCTCACCCTGTGGTGCCTCTGCTTGCGGGCGCAGTGCTCGCACGCAGGTGATCGCCATGCCTGCAGCCCTGCCTGATGGCGTGATTGCAGGGGCCTTGCGTGCATGCAGTCGGCCTTGCGGTTGCTGCTGCAAGCGGCTTGCCTGCACGCTGATTGCAGCGCCGCCATCTACAACGGCAGCAAGGGCAGCAACAGTTGCTTCCGTTTCTCAATTTTGCGTTAACGATTTTGACGCCAAAATTCCTCCTAAAACCCAACACATGTAGTTCAAAACCAATCTATCGCACGAACAACCTAGCTCTGATACCACTATTGGGAAATCTTTGGGGGCGACATCACACGCGCAGCGGAAGAACAGAAAACAAAATCCCCTATTCCCAAAGAGATGTTCGTCGTCGTGTGAAGATTGGTGTGTAAAAATCCGTGAAAATTAAAATTGCGTATAAAAATATATTTTGTGACCTAGGGAGATCCTATATCCCTATTTCCTTGGAGATCTCTAGGAGAGGGTGAAGGTGGTCAAGCGCCCTCCTCTCTAGTGGTGATCAACACAATAGGGCTACGACGACGCTCCTTAAAACTCTAGGCCTGCTCTGAAGTGGAGAGGGGGAGGAGAATAGGAGAGGCAAGCAAAAGCTCTAGCTTATGAACCACTGAATCTCTCCTATTTATAGAGGTCCCCTATCAAACCCTAATGGATCTGCCCCTATTAGGTATTGGATCTGCATTCAACTACCCAAGCCTCTTAGATTTGTGGATCTTTATCCAATAATCTCTCATGGGCTCTTATTGGATCTCATCAATAGGATCCAATAATTCAGGGGCTTATTGGATATCCAATAAGATAGGGGCTCCGGCGGATATCTCATATTCGTACCTCTACTCATCGCAGTGCCTACCATATGCGTGTGACCCTCTAGGCCCAATATCGAGCTGGTCGTGAGTCATACTTGTCAGAACTCCTTCTGGCTTTGTGAATTATTATCTCCATAATAATTCACTTGACTCATCGACTGCAGACGTACTAGGCCACTACGTTACAGTCCCCAGACGATACAGGGGAATCCAATCCATTGAACCTGTTTGTCCTCTATTATCGTGTACCTATAGTCCCTCATCTATTTAATATCCCAAAGATCGTATATTAGGCATGGTGTTGTCAGACCCATACGGTTTCTACTCGAGTCTCACTCTAATCGGATTCTCCATGAGAACTCTTTCTCTCTCAATCTGAATGACCCTAGCCAGGGATTTGTTTGAGCAAGAACATATGAGATATTCTTTTCATGACACCGAGAGTGGATGATCCTCTATCGATACTCAATAGCCCTTGTAAGGTTGACTACCACTCCCAATGACCGGCTGTACAAGATCTGAGACATCCAAATCTACAAGTCCGGTATTAAAAAATAGAGTATTTATACAGGACATCCTTGGTGTCTCAAGTAAGGACCATATACACAATTAGGACTATGGAATCGTTGTCTGATAATAAGGTATCATCAACCATCTAGTATTTCGTAAGCGGATCAATCAGTGAACTCATTCTCCAATAAGCACCTATACTGTATCCCTAGTGTCCCCACATGAGCAGTTATGAGACCAGCTGTATTCATTATATGAACGGGTATACAGCACATTAGTCTGTCTGGTTATCTCAATGTCCCTCTCGAGTAACCTATGACTGGGATTATTTAGGATATGTGTTTAAAAGCGAATTGGTCTTATTATCGTGATCTCATTACGATCCGATTTCTATTGCACAAATTCAAGGACATCACAATATATATATACATATAAGTAATAGTCAATATAAAGTGGGAAATGCTAAAATATAATAAGCAAAAAGATTTCTTGTCCAGTCACACGTGTCATCACTCACGTGATTGGTTTGTTGGGTATCTATGACTAGCAGCCTAAAGTATGAGGAAGAAAGAAGTAAATAAGATAAATGAAAAAAATTTGACGTGGAAGACTAGGAGAATTTGAAGGATGGAAGGAGGAAAGTGTTAGGAAATCTAGGGGCGACATCACATGCGAAGCGGAAGAACAAAAAATAAAAAACCCAAATTTCCCAAAAAGGTATTCGTCGTCGTGAGAAGATTGGTGCGAAAAAACCCGTAAAACATAAATCCACGTGTAAGATAGTGTTTTACCTAGGGAGATCGTATATCCCTGAATTCCTATAGATTTATAGGAGAGGATGAAGGAGTTCAAGTTCCCTCCTCTCTAGTGGTGATCCACACATCAGGGCTACGACGACGCTCCTACGGGCGTTGTGCTCGCAAGCAACATCCGATGGCGTTGTCGCTTGCGTTGCAGGCGCATTGCCTATAAGCAGGCAACTCTCCCCGCGGGCGATCGTGCCGCCTGCCTGCGGGCGTCGCCCTTGCAAGTGGCTCTGCCTGTACGCAGATGGTAACCAAGGCTACCATCTATGAGGACAACAACAATTGCTGTCCTTTCTCGCTTTTGCGTCAACGATTTTGACGTCAAAAGTTTTTCTAAAGCATAACACAAAATTTAAAATCAATCTTTCGCACGAACAACCTAGCTCTGATACCACTGTTAGGAAATCTAGGGGCGACATCACATGCGCAGCAGAAGAACAGAAAACAAAAAACCCAAATTTCCTAAAAAGGTGTTCGTCGTTGTGCGAAGATTGATGCGAAAAAACCCGTAAAACTTAAATCTACAAACGAGATAATGTTTTACCTAGGGAGATCGTATATCCCTGAGTCCATGCAGATCTGTAGGAGAGGATGAAGAAGTTCAAGTGCTCTCCTCTCTAGCGGTGATTCACACAGCAGGGTTGCGACGACGCTCCTCAAATCGCTGTCTAAATCTCTGCACTTGTTATTTGAGGAAGAGAAGGGGAGAGGAGAATAGGAGGTGACAACTAGGAAGTCCCAGCCTATGAGCCTTTGGTTCCCTTATAAATTAGATGCTCCTAATTAACTTAACCCTAATGGATCCTGCCCTATTGGGTATTGGATCTCCATCCAATTACTCAAGCCTCTTAGATTAATGGGTCTCTACCCAATAATCTCTTATTGGCTTCTTATTGGATCTTATTTATAGGATCCAATAATTCAGGGGCTTATTAGATATTCAATAAGATAGGGGCTCCGACGGATATCTTATATCCGAGCCTCTACTCGTCGCAATATCTACTATATGTGTGTGATCCTCTAAGTCCAATATCGAATTGGTTGTGAGTTATATCTGTCAGAAATCCTTCTGGCTCATTGAATTATTATCTCCATAATAATTCACTCGACTTATCGACTGCGGACGTACTAGGCCACTACGCCGCAGTCCCTAGACGATACAAGGGAATCAAATCATTTGGATATATTTGTCCTTAGTTACTATGTACCTATAGTCCCTCATCTATCTAATATCCTAAAGATCGAATACCGGACATGGTGCTGTCAAGTCCTTACAGTTTCTCCTTGAGTTTTGCTTTAATCGGATTCTTCCAGAGAACTTTCTCTCTCAATTCGAATGACCTTGGCTAAGGATTTGTTTGAGCAAGAACACATGAGATATTCCTCTCATGATATCGAGTGCGGATGATCCTCTATCGATACTTAATAGCCCTCGTAAGGTTGGCTGTCACTCCCGATGACCGGCCGTGCTAGATCTGGAACTTCCAAACATATAAGTCCAGTATCAAAGAGTGGAGTACTCATACAGGACATTTTTGGTATCTTAAGTTTAAGGACCAAGTATACCACTAGGACGACGGAATCGCTGTTTGACAATCAGGTATCATCAACCATCCAGTATTTTGTGAGCGGATCAATCAGTGAACTCATTTTCTAATAAACACTTGCACTGTAGCCATAGTATCCCCATACGAGCAACTATGAGACTAGCCTTCTCCATCATATGGATGGGTATACAGTATACTAATTTGTCCGGTTATCTCGATGTATCTCTCGAGTAACCTATGATCTGGATTATTTAGATTCTCTGTTTAAAAGTGAATCGATCTTATTATTATGATCTCATCACAATTCGATTCCCATTACATAGATCCATGGACATCACAATATATTTATGAATCAAGCAATATAAAATGAGAAAATATCATAATAATAATAAGCAAAAAGATTACGTGTCAAGTTACACGTGCCATCACACATGTGATTGGCTTGTAGGGCACCTATGACTAACAAAAAGAACAATTTTGAGAGTTTTTCTAAGCATGTATTGTAGTGGTGAGTCAACTTAGCATTTGTGATTTCTCTTAGCATGATCTCAACAGCATGCAGATAGGCACGTTTGGATCTGCTTTATCTTGATTTCTGTGCTATCATAATGGCATCTTCTTAATCTGTTGTACTCTCTTTTTAGGTTTCAACGTGCAATTCATCGCATTGATGTGTCAAACATCTGGATTTTCTCAATTATTCTGCTCACACCACAGCATCAAATTGATCCATTATCGTTTTCTCTATAAGGTTTCGGCAAGTGATAACTATATTCACATGTACATGTGGTCTTATCTAGGCTAGGTCTGGTTTTAGACCATCGGTGAAGTGGTTTGCTCTTGTTTATCTTGCTTAGTGGTCATAATTGTCTCATCATTCTTGTCCTTCACAAGACAGCAACTGGCTGCTATGTAAACTTGGTCTTCTATGCTGTTCTCGTATTTCTTTTTTGGTTTTTCATGCCGAAGCCTGCTGATACATACTAGGTTAAACAGCTGTGCATTAAAAAGCTGTCTGTAAGTGCTTTTTAATTTTTGTGGCATTTGTGAAATGCGTAAGAAAAAGTTTCATTTTTGTTTCCTTTTTTGTATTTATTTTATCTTTAGTCCACTTGTCAGATCTAGATCAATAATTGTTAGGCATGACATTCCTAGATCTGATGATGCATATTTGTCCCATCTCTGTAGGAAAGAAGTGGATTTCATTGCACTAAAGCAAACAAGTAAAGTGAATATAATAGTTCAGAAAGTTCTGCAAGATCATCAGAATGGACGGATACCACTCACAAATGATTATCCTAAAATTGGAAGAGTTGCTGCTGACTTAGTACATTTGGATGGAAGAGAGGATGACCATCCTAATAATTGTCAAGATGCAATTTCTCAAGATTTGTCAAGTGGAGGTTCCATGTCACGTCATTCTTCAAGATGTACCAGTATTAATTCAAGTATGAAGAACACTATTGAGAAACAACCTCAGCAAGCACTGTCATCCTTTTATCCATCTGTCAGAAAATTGTTCTATTCCACTGCGACTCAGCCCAAGAAATTGCCATCTGACTCTCAAGAGTCCGAGGGTTCTCTTCCAGCAGGAGATGAAGATGTCTGTGATAAGGCAACATATCCTGGAAATTCAAAAAAGAGTCAACCTGTTAAAAAGGGTACAAATAAGGTGGTAAACCGGGAACAACTTGCTCGCATATATGATGAAGTACTCATTGTTGATAATATCTCAAGAGCTAAAGAAGTAGTCCAGTTACTGACTACAGAGTACAAGCATTTTTTTCATGCATGCGACACTGAGGTTTGTTAACCAAAACATATGTATTAGCTAGTAATAATTTAACCACTGAGGTTGCTTGGAGCATACTGATTTTGATATAAATATTAGTATTTGTACTTTGTTTAGAACAAGGGCCTGAATGTATTATATCCAAGCACTTGATAGTAACTGCAATTTCATTTGCTGAGCTGTATAGAGGGCACCCTCACTAGTTGATGGGCCATTGATACCCCCGTAATTGTTCTAGTATAAATATTTCAGGTCTTCGACTACCTCTCTTTTCACCAGTGATCAGAATATGTTATCTCCCATAATTGGGGCATCAGCAGGTCTTAGTTGACCTTGTTTTTGACAATCTTTCTTCCTAAATATTCAGGAATGCATATTTTTTCTTATTAGTTCACACTTTTATTAGAACATTTATGTATAATGAAACTACACTTCTACCAGAACATTGTTGTCTTGATGGCACCACACTTCTATTGATTGATTGCTTGATGACACTACAGTTCTATCATAATATTGATGTCTTGATGACACTGACTTTTAAATATTTAAATAAACTGTCTCCTAATTTTTTGTAATTATCTATCCATTTAAAAAAATTACATTCAGTGTCTTGTTATCAAGTCTCCTCGTTTTCGTCTCTTTATTCTTTGATAGCATTTTTAGACATAGTTAACTTCATAAAATAGCAGATTGGTTATGATATCTGTGTCAGTGCTTGTAGTATTATTCACTCTTTAGATCATTTCTTTCTTTCGACTTCATGAGTGTTTGTAGAGTTTTATGTCTTGTTGTTTGTTGCTTGTGTTTGTTGATGTCTCTCAACCATAATTATAGAAAAATGTTTGCATTTGAAGATTTAAATAGATTTTAAAGGTCCTTCATGACCTTATGTTTCCTAATTTTCTTTCGGTCATGTGTTTCATCTTATATGAAATGATTTTGTCTCCCTTAGGTGGCCAACATTGATGTGAAGGTGGAGACGCCGGTTGGCCATGGAGAGATCATATGCTTTAGTATCTACTCTGGTCCTCGAGCAAATTTTGGAAATGGTAGATCTTGTGTCTGGGTTGATGTGCTGGATGGTGGGAAGGATGTGTTGGAGGAGTTCATTCCATTTTTTGAAGACTCATCTATCAAGAAGGTGGTATTGTTTGGGAGTTTGATCATTTCCAAATGCTAAATGCCTATTGTGAATCCTGTATTAGTCAATGTTGTGTTCATTTATCATAATACATGTGATTTTTGGTTAATAGTATAATGTAATATGTTCTTTATTAATGGCAAATATCAAGGGCTTGTTTTGTAGATTCTCATATTCTTTTAGTCTTCTGTGCTATCAAGCCCTTTAAATTGTTTGGAGCCAGTACTTTTGTCTTTTTTCCCCCCTGTTGAATACATCTGTGTTTTTGTTAAAGCTTATAGTATAATGAATTTGTTCTTGCCTTTTAGGTGTGGCATAATTACAGCTTTGATAGTCATGCGCTAAGAAACCATGGGATCAATCTGTCTGGGTTCCATGCAGATACCATGCATCTTGCACGGCTTTGGGATTCTTCCAGAAGAATTAATGGAGGGTATTCACTTGAAGCACTAACAAGTGATCCAAATGTCATGTCTTCAAAAGGATTTCACGTTGCTGATGAACTAATCATGGGAAAGATATCGATGAAATCTATCTTTGGTAAGAAAAAGTTAAAGAAGGATGGTTCTGAGGGGAAACTTATCGCTCTTGCACCTACTGATGTGCTTCAGAGAGAAGAACGAAAATTATGGGTCTGTTATTCTGCTTTAGATTCTATAAGCACCTATAAACTTTTTGATAACTTGAAAGCAAAGCTTCTGGATATGCAATGGTCTCTTGATGGTGTTAAAAGAGGAACAATGTATGATTTCTATGAAGAGTACTGGTGCCCTTTTGGTAGTCTATTAGTGCAAATGGAATCTGAAGGAATGCTTGTTGATCGAGAATATCTTTCAGAGATGGAAAAACTTGCTATTGCTGAAACGGAAATAGCTGCAGACAAATTTAGGAAGTGGGCATCAAAGTACTGTCCTGATGCTAAATATATGAATGTGGGAAGTAATGTTCAAATCCGTCAGTTATTTTTTGGTGGCACACTGAATAGGTGCTTGCATTTCTCCCTTCATTCCTTGAAAGTTATCTTTTAAAAGCAGCACTTGAATTTGTATCTTTTCTTGTTCTATATCTATGTCATCATCTCTCCCAAACACATTGGTTATTGTTAAGTAGTAAGGTTCTTGACTAGTTGTTTTAGTTTTGAGACTAGTTTCCAAATCTTTTAGCTGTTTGTTTTTAACTATTTACAGGGTTTGTGATGAGTGTTCTAAAAGAGAGTTATAAAAGGTAACATTTGACTAGAAGTCGATAGTACTATTTGGAGATTGTTCAGTTGGAAGTAGTTGTAGATTGCTCTGAGTAATGATGGAAAACTTAGCTTTGACTTAACATGCACTTCAAGTGAACTTTAATTTATGAAGTTGTTCAAGATAATGTGAAGCTCCACTAGTAAGATGAGAAGTTATCCCATAGCATTATTTTTATTTGTGATTCATATACTTAACATATGTTAATTTTTGTTGTATAATTGTGTGGAGCACTTGTGTAATCTTTACTTACTGAAAATCATGATGCACATAGAGGTTATATTACTCCATTTTGTCCTTTTTCCATGTCTTCTACATAATTAAGCAACATATGTGCCTCTTACTATATCATCAATGAATTAGATTTTCAACATAATTTATCTATGGGAGTGTTCAATTCAATGTTTTTAAAGCGCCAAGGTCCCTTTTTGCTCCAGGTGCTAGGTAGTTACCCAAGAAAAACACAGCATTTACCTTACAAAAATTATAAAAATATAATTAAATATAAAAATAATCATTAATATGAGTCATATCATTATATCAAAGCTAGAACTTATTGTTGTTCTGCCAAAAATTTTCACCTTTGGTATTTTTGTCAGAGAACACACAAATGACTAATCCTTTTAGATGTTTCTTGCTGATTCCTCTGGCAGACCTACATTTGTTCTTATACTTACTGTGTAATTTTAATTTCCATGTTAAATTAATTAATTAAGTCATACAATGTGAAAAGAAGAAGAGGGTGGAGAGAGACGACGAACGTGGAGGGTGAGGTATCACAGAGCATTGCAGTCAAGGTGTTTGATGCATGATGCATGTTCGTGACCCTTTAACGATGTTATTCTCTATTTTGGTGTTTTCGAGTGTTTTCTTATTGGTAGCTTGTACGGATATGAAGTAGTAATTTTAGTCCCACTTTGCTATTGGTGGCATTTTTATTTTGTGTTTTCTGTACAGAACATGCAAGCGTTATTGGCAAAATGACATCATGTAGGGGTAGATGGCTGAAACAATTCTACTTTAGTGTGTTCTAGGCTTATTTATGTCTGACAGTCTTACGGTGTGAAATATCAGCTATCTCAACTCAACACTCTGAAACTCCCCTATGTGGCATTGGATCAGATGGAACTTCGAGTATGTCGGAGGCTGTGTCATTGCTTAGTCTTACACCCAGTGTGCATGATGGTTTTGTCTGTGATGGACTGCCTTGTACCTTTTGTCGCACAGCTTTGGAAGTCCATCTTTGTATTTCACACAGCTGTTTGCTTAAATGACTTTTTTTTTGCAACCCCGAGTTTCGCTTCCACTGACCTACCTTTTCCTTTACAGGTCTCTATGGACTGCACGAGGTTATGGTTAGGTTGACCCTTTGATGACTGATATCGCAAGGGTGTCCTATGGTCTGGGCAAGACCAACTCAGTTTAGAGGGGAGGAAGAGAGAGGGCAGACATAGACAATAGAGGGTGAGGGTGGGAAGAGGGAGGAGAGAGGTGAGTACCGATAACAATTATTATTGGCTATGGATAAAGGAGAAAGAAGAGAGGGGAGAGCAGAAAGAGAAGGATAAAGTCAGTGCTGATCATAGAGAGAGGAGAGAAGAAAAGAAGAGGGAGGAAGAAACAAGGGGAGAGAGGGCAAGGGCAGCAGGCTGCTGGTTGAGCACAAAGGAGATGAGGAAAGAAGAAGAGCGAACAGGGATGAGAGAAGAAAAGCAGAAATGAAAAGAGGGGAGAAAGAAGAGCGAGTAAAGAGTAAATAGAAGGAAAAAGAGAGGGAAGGGAGAGACAAGGAGAGGATCATAGATGTCGGATGCGTTTAAGAGGACACTAACTAGATTGTGTGGGAGATCATGTTTTGAGTGGGTCAGGGACTCAGGATTAGGTTTGGATCGAGGGAGGGTCGAGGAATTTGGATCACTTAGGCTAGCCTAGGTGAGTGCATGGACATCCAGCGCCTTAGCTGAAGCTCTCACCTGGCGGGTGCCTAGTTAAAGACTCATTGTCCAGGGCTCATCGAGGTGTTTGGGCCTCGCCTTTCTCTAGTGCCTAGACAAATGCTTCTTTCGATAGTCTCTTTTCCTCGCTCCTATGGGAGGTTGGGGATTGGGATTCTTGGGGCTATATGTCTGTTTTTAGATGCAGCTGACTGCTAATTTGCACTGCTTTATAAGGATTCACAGAAATGAGTGGAGCTGACTCTAGTTTTACATGAGACGAATTTGGTGAGGATCCAACCTAAATCATGTTTCCAGGAATAAGTTATGAGCTAAATTGACATTCTTGTCTCAATGGTTTTCTGCATCCACAATAATTAAGCATACTACCTGTCTCATTGACTGGTTATTTGACTATAGTTTACATTGAGACTTGTATGATGGACCCAGTTTTTGTCAGATACTACTCTAGGAGTTGGAGTGTTTTGCTGAACAGAAATTTGTTTGATGGTACCTGGTTTTTGCTTGGTTAACTCATTGTCTGTGTCTTTTTTAGGTTGGGGAGCGGGGTGGAGGGTGGTGATTGTGTTAAAGTAGTTCTGGCAACTGTAGTCTCTTTTTGAAGCCGTTTGCTCACTAATAAAAACAGCCACTCTTTTTGTATTAATTGTGACTAAACATGTTTCAGCGTATCATGCATTACACTCATCTTTAAAGTTTATCTCTACTTGTCTTTAATGTGAGCTGAATCTCATTTATCTTTTATTTCCATATATTTTGCAGAAAAGATCAAAATGAATGTTTGCCTGACTCAAAGTCATTTAAGGTTCTTAATACTGAGAATGTCATTGGAAAGGGAAAGAAGTCTCTTTCTAAATACCGCACTATTGAGCTCCACAATATTTGTATAAAAAAATTGCAAACACATTTGTATACAGCTAGTGGGTGGCCCTCAGTCAGTGGTGATTCCCTAAAAGTTTTAGCTGGTATGGTATCCTTGAACCAAACCTCAGATGACCAGAATCTCACAGAAGACATTGCAGAAGTGGCTGATATATGTACTGATGAAGACACTTCTGCTTCTGGGACTGCATATGAGGCATTTGGTGAAGGTAAGGATGGGAGAGAGGCCTGTCAAGCTATAGAAGCTCTTTGTGAAGTCTGCTCTATTGATTCTTTGATATCAAACTTCATTCTTCCCTTACAGGTATTCTGATCCTGTGACGCATGTTTTTCCTTCATGAGAAATGCATGCAAAATGAAAAACAAAAATAGGTGTGCGTTGTTTTCACTAAGCCTAGTTCTTAGCCATAACATTTAAACATGAACTTCCTTTTATTCTTGTAAACATGTGAGCTTACATGGCCTCTTTAATTTGTTTACTATCTGTTTATATTTGTTTTGGAAAGACAGCCATTCTTTTCCACCAGTGAAGTATACTTTTCTGAAGAGTTCTTGCTTTTGTCTGACACTGGTGGATCATTATCGTGTTACTTTCTTCTGGTGGTAGGGGAATCATATTTCATGTGTCAATGGACGAATTCATTGTTCTCTAAACATCAATACTGAAACTGGACGTTTATCGGCTAGGAGACCGAACCTGCAGGTTCTTGTCTATTCCTTTGTCCTTGTTTCTCATATTGTGGTTATTCTGTATGTTGTTAACACCCAATATTGTTGACTAACTATTCACAGTATTCTTGTTAACTTATTGTTTGATGGATGTAGTACTTGGCATGGAAAAATCACATGATGCTTCTTGTGTGTTATTGCAGCATCTTGTAACTGTTACAATCATTTCCCTGTGGTGTCTCAACATTGCTTCTTATCTGTACTTGCTGGATTGCAATATATATTTCTCATATCAGAATATGATAATAAAATGAACATCTAATTCAAGTGCTCTATACCAAGCTATTATAATGTTTTCAATTAAGCTACAAGAGAAAATTTGCCCGCTTATGTGAAGTCGCAATTAAAGAAAGTCAAACCTATTAAAATCAAGGAAGTCAAATTTGACCAGTTCGTACTGATTGGTATATTCCGGTCCAAGCTTGAACCGAGATGCGGACTGCCCCTATTTCGGGCGGTCCAGTCCAGCCTATTAAAAAAAATTAAACTCCTTCAATTAGGTCCTGCGAACACGAGCCCTTCTCTAGACCTGCAGGGCTTGTGCCCTGTTCTACTTATGTGCTGCTTGCGCTCGTTGTTGTACGTTGCCCATTGTGTGTTGCCGACCTCGGATACCTTTCCTCCTTTTCCTCTTCTTCCTTTCTCTTCCTCCTCTTTCCTCCACATCCTCCTTTCTCCATCGCCTCCTCTTCTGCCTTCCTCTTCCTTCTTCCTCCTTTTCCTCCACTGCCTCCTTCCTCTCCCGCTTTTCTTCTCTTCCTCCATCGTGTTATCTTCTTTCTTCGTCCTCCTCTTCCTTCCTCTTCTCAGTCTTATTCCTCTTTGGCACACATCGGTGTACCATGTGTTGGTACACTGATATTGACAATGTGTACCAGTTCGACCAGCGACCTTAGTATAGTAAATTGCAATCCTTGGTCAAAATGTCAACGAATAGACTTAAATTGTAAATTAATGAGTTACTATCAAAGGCCCTATTTGGTATATGGGCATACTAGATGATGATAATGATATCATTATAAGAATCAAGGTTTGTCGTACCATTGCATACTACTTAATAAGGGTGGTACATACCAGTTTGTTGGTATATCTCATCATACCGTATGTCGGGACATTGACACAGTTTGGTATGTATTGTACCAACAATTAGTCGGTACACTAGCACAGACCGATAAGACGAACCATAATAGAAATGGTTTAATTTCATGTCACTTTAGGTCTTTAGATATTTAGACCTTTTAATCTTTTTTTTTCAGTGGATTTTGCTGCTTGTAGTACAAAGGGTGCTCCTTGTATTGATCTTAAGAGTTAAGAAACACTCTATTTTGTGTTTCTAATAATTTGATCAAGTGAAAAGTTATAATATGGATGTTCTTATTAGCTTTATAAGAGACAATAGACATGAAGGTAAATGTTTTAAGGAAAATAACATATTACTGCCTAAAAAATGGTATGTCGGTTCAAATTTTATTATGAGAAATGAGAATGATGGTTACCTATTAGCTAGGTTCAGCTGCTCTTTTATGAGCTAGACACCGAGGTAAAATTATTTTAGATGTAAAAAACAGACTGCTCAAAGAAATGTAGTTTGATTGGCTAGGTTTAGCTGCTCTCTTTTTCTTTTGAAATATGTGTTTGGACCCTTCTTTTTCTCCCAGACATTCTTTTGTCTTCAAAAAATTGATTAAACTGCTATCGTCCACTTCTAGTTTCTTTTGTCAAAATTTCTCTTCTCAGGTTTACGTAGATGCATATTGACTATGGCAAAGTTTGAACCTAGAAAATAATATATATGCACTCTTGTTGATTTCTGTTGCAGCATAGTAGTGGATGCTACTTTTAGCTTTTTATTTGGCCGGACATGTTTGACATCTGAAGTCTGTTAACTTACACGTTCGATCACTTGAACTCAAATAAAAGATGGTCCACCTTTTGTTCTCCTGATGGATGTATGTATGTATGTATGTGAGAATCTATGTATTGATTGTATATATCGTAAATTCTAGCTTTTCTTTAAGCTCTGAGACTCTATGTATTGATTTTGATTTGATTATTTTTTTTGGTTCCAGGTAAACTTTGAATTTCTGGGAAGTTCTTCTAGATGTAGTTATCCCTATATTGCTTTAGAGCAAGGTTTGCCTTGCTGTGAGGGGCTTTCTGGTGGCTCTGTCACTTCATTTGCCATTAACGTGTAGTCAATCACTTGTTCGAATGTCCATGTGTAGTGCCCGATACCATTAAGCATCAGCAGTTTGTGATACAGCCAGCACGTTCAATCTTTATAATGTTCCCTATTAACACTCTGTGCCACTCCAATTAACAAGAGGGTCACAATTTTGAATTCTCTTTTCCATCTGTTCAATATTACCTTGCTATCCTTGGTTCTGCTATGGCACTTAAGTTTATTTTCTTTCTGATGTCATGCTTAAAGAAATTTTTCATCATTAAACTTAGACAGGATTATTCATCATGTTGTTCTTCCTAATCAGAACCAACCTGCATTGGAGAAGGACAGATACAAAATTCGACAGGCCTTTATTGCTGAAGCTGGAAAATCTCTTATTGTTGCTGATTATGGGCAGGTCAGGAAGCTAAATGTTAATTTGCAAGTTCTTGTAATCCTTATATAAGGCAATCATCTGATGCTTACTATCTTTCTTATACTGAAATCAAACTTTAAAAGCTGGAGCTTAGGATATTAGCACACCTTGCGAACTGTCAAAGTATGTTGGATGCCTTCAGAGATGGTGGTGATTTCCATTCTAGAACAGCTATGAATATGTATGCACATGTGTGCAAGGCTGTTGAAGAAAACAGAGTACTCCTTGAGTGGCATCCTCAACCTGGAAAACATGAACCTCCAGTTCCATTATTAAAGGTTTGTATGCTTTTTGGCACATTTTGTGCTCTCACATTCTGGAACTTCTGTAGAAGCAGTTGCGTGCATAGTCAACTGTAGAGACATTTTGATATAGGCATGACATTGTCAACAAATTTGTTATAGCAAGAAGATCCAAGGATTCTATTGTTTGTTGTACAGCACAGGCTGGTATGCGCTCAGCCTTGCCAGTCCCAGTGAACTGTTTTGGCTACCACAGGGAGCATCTCACCTGTTGCACGGGGCCACATGCCATTCGGCAACACAGCAGAACCCCCATTCCACCGATATTTAAAATATTTTGAAACACTTCTCTAGAATTTATTCTGTTGCACATCTTTGTTATAAAAGGTTTGTTGGCTTGACTTTTGTTCTCTTTCTAAATGAATGATCAAAGGTTTGGACAACTGGGTGGTAGATTGCATTTTCTTATTGTATTCTCTCTGACAAACTACTTTGAGACTGCAATAAGAATGCCATTTATTGAACTATGTTTTTGTTTGACTGTTTTGAATCTTTGATTCACTGCAACTTTGCAACATTAGTGCAGATATCTGATTGAGTTCGTTGTTTAGTGTTATATAAAGCTCCGCTGAACCCTGCTGCTTCAGTCATGAAACGGTTGTTTGTGAATTGGCTGGCTGCAAAATCAGGATGCTTAGCCAAGAAGTGGGTTTGTTGACAACAGTATTCGATGTCCAGAGTGTTCTCTGGTGGTGGCCAAGTCTGATATTTTCTTTATGGCTCACAAGGATGTAGTGCATTATATAACCTGGCAAACACCAACAAATGACAATTGTTTCAAGCACTTGTTTGAAAACAGGTTCTTTCTTATCTATGATATTCTGTGCCTTTGAGAATCTTCTGAGAATGGTCTATCGAGAACTCTTGAAATGATCTCTCAGGTACATGCCCCGTACCGGTCCTTGGTTGGATGGTCATGAGAAGTGTGCATCACCATAGACATGCCACTGTTGCCCTTAAAAAAAAAACAAATGAACCGGACCAAACTGCCTGAAACATGAGAGAGAGAGAGAGAGAGAGAGAGAGAGAGAGAGAAGGGGGTGGGTGGGTGAGGAAGAAGAAGGGGCATCACAAGAGACATGCCACTTTTACCCTAAGAAAAAACAAATGAACTGGACCAAACTGCTCGAAAGGGGTGGTCCACACCCTTGTTCACATTTGAACCGGAAAATGCATCCTAGGAATCCATGATTAGTAGAAATCCAAGAATGATCCTTTTCTACTATTTCTTTATATTTAGGTATAATAGTCTTGCATTTCTTTAATTTAAAAGATATTTCTTCTTTTTTGTGGGCATTGAACTTCTATTTAATTCATGTAGATTTTATATGGAGACTTTGCATTTGATTAAACCACAAAACATCTGCTTTGTTATTTTAGTTTGTTTGTGGTTTCTTTTTTACAAAGGGTAATTGTGATAGAAGACTTAGATGATTATCAAAATGGTGTAAAGTTTGGATTTTTTTTTGTTCATGTTAGAACTCGTGTTCTTGATTCTCTAGATAGTTGTAACAAAAATCTAATATTTGATGTTTGGTAACTAAATATGGATGCTGGCCTATAATGATGTCTGTGTTATATTATATGTTACAATTATTCTTGTTCATTGTTGGGTAGTTTCAGTTTATTTCTTTTACTACAGTAATGCTTGGTCCAACTATGGCTCAACCTAGCTACCAATATCATTGGCATCTTATCAATCTTATACATGCCAATGAGGTTAGAGCTTTTTCCTTTTCAATTGGTTGATTACATCTACTTTAGATGGGGACAGATCCAGGACACAAGGCTCTCGCCAATATGGAGTTTTGAGAGGGTAATGTATGTAGCAGAGACACTGTTTTTGTGAGTTGAAAATCAATTACCGAGGTCGTGTAGGTACAACCTTATCGTAATGCTTGCCCTCTAGATTGGTGAGATCTTCTCAGTCAAATGTTTTTTGCTGTACACAACATAATATATTCAGTCAATTTTTTTGTTTGATTAGTAACATGACCATATTATTGTCAGGTGGATAACAATTATTGTGCTAGATTTATTTTTATCCTGCTTTATGCACAAAGAATCTAGTTATGTAAATTATGACAAAATCTATGTGTTTTATTCTATTAATGCTGTGCTGAATGCCTCTAGCGTCACCTGCCGGTGGGATATGTTTCCTGGATATCTGTATTTTTTTTAATTTATGAAACTAGTTCTCTGAATTAATTCTTGTGCTTATGTACTTGTCTGAGAAAAAAAACATAATTTTCCTTTGTAGTTTGCAGAATACTCTGGTTGTTTTTAGCTAGAAATATGGCAATAAAATGTGCCTTGTTTACTCTGGTCACAGGATGTTTTTGCTGCCGAAAGAAGGAGAGCTAAGATGCTTAATTTTTCTATTGCTTATGGAAAAACACCCATAGGACTTTCTCGTGATTGGAAGGTAATACCATAGTAGCTTCCCTATACGGGAACAGTAGGGTTATTAAATCTCTTGATGCATTTCGGGGTCGTCTTATGTTTGATTAACTTATGTCACAATAGTTATTTACCAATTTCCATTCATGCATTCATATTTCAGTATTTTAGTGTTATACATCATTAGGTGTCATCTGACTTGGAGTATACTTACATTCTGGATATGATCAACTGGTTAAGTTCAGTCAAAATAGACATACTGATGCAGGGCTATTAGCGGATGCCATGGTTGCATCTATGAGCATGGACCAGAACAAATAATTTCACATCATCTGAAGCATTTACAACCAACTTACAGGTCATCAAAGCAGTTACAGTTAAACCATCATAGAGACAGTCAATGCCATTAAACTGAATTCTGTGACAATGCAGTTAAATTGATGCCCAACAACCATATCCAAACAGAATAACTAACCCCATTTAGGTAACGGCCTGCAGATCGTTACAGGGACTACTATATGAAGGGATTTTCTAAAAACAGGTTGACACTTTTGAGACTACAAAATCCAACATACTCTCTACTTGCTTACTGTTTCAGGTGACCTTTTTTTTAACTGTTCTTGAGTGCCTTTCTCTACCTTGGAGAATATTCTGATTTGAAAGTTAAGAGGAATGTCTCAATCCATATATTTCTGGTAGCCCCTCTTCATGCAGGATCTTTCTTGGAGTGGCCTTGAAGTTGCCTCGCCTTTGCTTGTAATAGCTAGGTTCCTCTTACTCTTACTTTCACATAGTGTTTGTCAAGAACCCAGATCAGCTCTTGTGATTTCACTAAGAGGACCAAATCTGATAGATGCATAAGGAATGACTACTGGAACACATATAGGACAGTCAGTTTTATGAGCTGGTAAGTAGATTTGTTTAGATGAAGCAGATGCCTTGATTTTACATGTTAATAATGTAAAATAATTAGAAATCCCTGCATACATACTCTAGAGCAAATTTCAACCCTAAACCTCATCACCCAACATCATTCAACTCAAGGTAGTCACTTGTTTGTTTGCTTAAGTTGTAAATGTTTTTTATATACATTTGATTTTATATTTCGTAAGGAAGTTAATTGTTTTATGAAATATAATGGTAAGCAAATATTTCAACATGTATATAGGATTTTATTTTATTTCATTTTGCAATTATCTGTTGTATATTTTTAGAATTTTTATCTTAACATTATTTTCTCATTCTATTTTGATCCCCATTGGTTCAATCTGATTGATCTTGCTGATCCAGATTGTATCATTTCTAGCTGACCTCAGCATTAGTCCTCAGAGTTGCTTTGTGCTTAGGTTTCTGTTGAGGAAGCAAAGAAGACGGTTGATCTTTGGTACAAAGAAAGACAAGAAGTTTTGCTCTGGCAAGAAAAACAAAAGAATGAAGCAAGGACAAAAGGACGTGTCCAGACATTGCTCGGACGATCACGATGTTTTCCTTCATTGGATCATGCCAGCAATGCTCAGAGGGGGCACATTGAACGGGCTGCTATTAATACTCCAGTACAGGTGATTCTTTTCTCGATCCACGCAGCTTGGCTTTTACTACGAAATCGAAGATCCTATTTTTTACCAACTGTAATTATTGTACTGTATCTATCGTTGCTCTTGTTTCTCTAATTTTTCTTGAAAAGCTCTTTATTTGTAGCTAGCTTATTATTTTTCCTTATTGTTTTCATCCTGAAGTATTCGATCTGTCATTTTTAAAGTGTTGCAGAGACCACTTAATTCGAAAGTTTGATTATTTGCACAATGACTATTCTGGATTACTGTCTCAGGATCTTTAATTGCTATCTTTTAATATCTGGATAGTTAGTGATCAAGAATTGCAATCTCGAACTGGGGTACTGTACTGACCCTGTTAGACCAGTACATATCGACCGATAACAGTGTACTGTACCAAAGACTTGAAGAGGAAGGAAGATGTGACAGTGGAGGAGGAGGAAGCGGAAGGAAGAAGAGGAGGTGGTAGAGCAAGAGGAGAAAAGAGGAGGAAGAGGAAGAGGAAGAAGGGAAGGAGGTGATGACGGAGGAAAAGGAGAAGAGGAGCATACCTGGTCGATGATGGCAGGATGGCTGACTACGCACATCGAGGCTCCTGTCACAATAAGATGGTGTGTGATTTTTTTTATATGGCCAGATCGGACCGCCTGAAATGGGTTGAGTCCGCAAATCGGTTCACACCCAAACAGGTAAATTCTGGTTGGTAGGTACCTGTCTGGGTGAAATTGCAGTTTATGGTAGTGATAATATATATGTTTCATTATTCCTTTACTCCCCTTGCTGTTTATCCCTTTCGCTTAAAGACATGCCATGGTGTGTTTCTTAAGTAACCAACCAGTTCTGATCCACTTGCTAGATTTTTACTGGCTTATGAAACATTGAGTCTCCGATAGGTTGTGTAGGCATTTTGTCTTATTATCCTAACTTAACCTACTTCTCTACCACTGCTCTAGGAGATGGAGTAGCCCTTTAGCTGCTATAGGAGATGGAATGCTTGATAAGATGTCAAAACAATCATCCTCATCGTGCTTCTTTTTCGGTTCAAACTCCTTTTGAACAACTTGAGTTGGACAAGAATCTTTATGAACTTTTTAACAAGTTCTACATGAAATAAATATTTGAAATTGACCATGTTCAACCTGTTATTTGAGATGTATGATTATTTGTTGTATGGTTTTATTTTCTAACATTTGTGACTTTGTGAATTCTGATTCTTTATTGAGTCATCAACCTCTAGCCTTTGCAAGTTAAGCTTGAATCCAAGGTTCGTAATTTCGTACCATACCGACGTTTCGAGCTCAGCTTGGTACAGTACGGTATGAGCGCATCGAGCGGTATGCTTTGGCGTATCGGTTGGTATATATATATATATATATATAATAATAATAATAATAATAGTAATAATAAAAGTTAAAAAAATAAAAAAAGGTGCGACATTATCTTGGGCGAAGTTGCCTTGTTTCTTCTCCCCGCCTCGTTTCTTCTTCTCGTGTTGTTACGCACTTAGCTGGTTTTGCCTAAGTCGTGCGGTACTCTTGCGTGTCCGTCTGCAAAGGTTAGCCTCATCGAAACCTCCTATGGTCCCTTAGGACCTACAAAAGAGAAAACGGGTTAGGGAAAGCGTCTTACTTAGGATCCACGAGCAATCATTTCAACAAACACTTCATAGCCAATGAAAATTACAAACTTCAGAAGCTTTAAATGGTCGGACAACAAAAGGTCCAAAATGGTCCACTACAAGCTGAGATCCCCACAAGTGCCCACATGACTCAACCTTTGTTTGTAAGCCTAGGATGGCCACCAAAACCAAAGAAAATGGCGCTGCTAAGCTTATTGTCAACCCTTTACATGTGCAAAGCATGAACTAAACCGAAAGACATAGACATACATGAGCATTACACCAAACACCTCGTTTACAGTTTTGTCTGTGACATTGTCCCCCGCTTATTACTTTGACATCTTCGTTGAAGCCTTTGCAGACGCTGCATCTCCTCGCCTTTGCTGAGTCTTCCATCTTCTGCTCCAGTTGCAATGCGCCTCTTGGCTCCTAGTTGTACTCTACCGCTAATGTTGAGTAGTCGAACTTTGATCCGTCATGCTGCCTCAACTCGCCAATGACTCTGACTCTGGTGTTGGGTCGGCTGAGTTGTGTTGATTCCTGTTGTTTCCTGCGGATCTCTCAAATGAAGGAAAAGACTATCCTTAGTATGCGCCGATTGGTCACGCACTTAGTTGGTTTTGCCTAAGTCGTGTGACACCCTTGCGTGTCTGTCCGCAAAGGTCAACCTTTTCGAAACCTCCTATGGTCCCTTAGGACGTACAAAAGAGAAAACGAGTTAGAGAAAACGTCTCATCAGGATCCACGAGTAATCATTTCAGTAAACACTTTATAACTAATGCAAATTACAAATAGACTTTACCAGCTCTAAATGGTTGTACAACAAAGGGTCTAAAATGGTCTACTACAGACTGAAATCTTCCACAAGTGTCCACACGACACAACCATTATTTACAAGCCTAAAATGGCCACCAAACCCAACTAAAATGGGGCTGTCAAGCCTTTGACCGTCCCTCTACATGTTGTGCAAAGCATGAACAAATCAAAAGACACGGACATACATAAGTATTACATCGAACACCCAATTTATAATTTTGTCAGTGACATTCTCTCCCACTTATTCCTTCGACGTCCTCGTCAACAAAGCCTTTGTCGACGTTGCAACTCCTCGCCTTTGCTGTGTCTTCAATCTTCTGCTCCAACTGTAATGTGCCTCTTGGATCCCTATTGCTCTTAGTCGTTGTTGTTGAGTAGTCAAACTTTTGATCTACCATGCTGCTTCAACTTGCCAATGACTCTGACTCTAGTCGGGTTGGCTGAGTTTTGTTAATCCTTGTTGGTTCTTGTGGATCCTTTAAATGAAGGAAAAGATAATCCTTGGTATGCTCCAGTCTCTTAAATGCCTCATGTCGTTTGAATTGGGTTGATGACTATTGGAGCTTTAACGAGCATCGCCTCACAAACTTTTGAAGTTTTTGGGTCCTTCCTTTACAAAATTTTCCCATCGACTCTTCTTTCACTTAGTTGTCACTTCCAAGTAGATTCGCATCACTTTCGCTTTCGATTGGCATTCCATTGGGAAATAAAGTGGACAATCTACTCTCAGTAGCACCGATCACCATTGGTGAGGATTTGACAACTATTGTCTTCCATTAGATTTTTTTGAAGGGTCTTTAAACCTATGTAGAGCTCCTCTGTTAGATAGATAAGAGAATTGGGGTACTCGGTTTCGCTCATTTTCTTAAGAGTTGAGAAGGCAAAGGTTACATGACTTCACCCACCTCCTCAAGGGTTGTACTCCATACATCGAGCTGGTTACTATTTTTCGCCTGCTCTTTGCTCACACTTCTGAAGCACTCGAAGTGTTTGCATTTCTTACGTCGAGTTAGCTACTGTGATTCACCTTCTTAATGCTATCGAACTTCTGGAATGTAAGAAGTTTTCACCCCAACTTGGAGTAAGTCTCTAATAGTTTTGGTCGCCTCTGGGATTGTATCGTCTTCTCGATCATCTTTGTCGCCTACTCCACTGAGTAGCAAAGGTACAGCACTGCGTGCTGCCTGCTTCATTCCTTGGTCGTGCACTCTTGCATTGACTCGACGTCCTTCACTTTCGGCTATCTTGATGAGAAGCTCGTTGACATCGGTCTTACGAAGTTCCTTGGCCTCTGCCCTTCAGCCTTATCTCGATACTTGGAGTTTGTCCCTTTCACGACCAAGCACTCTCCCTCCATTAGAGCAATGGATCTATGACTTCACGGAAGTCCCGACTCTACGATACCACGATGTTACTATGCCCATGGCCCTACTATCTATCGCCTCGCCTCTGCATCCCTTTCTTCATGATCGATAGATCTGCCTCTGTGGCACTGTGGCACTCCTCCGAGTCCACCTCTATTCTAATTGATGCTTGGTTTTGGGTAGCTAAGTCCCTCTGGACTCGTCGTCGCTTCAATACCTTTGTGTTCTCCGAACAGTTCCCCTTGGTCGATGAAAATATAGACTGTAATTCCCATGCATGGCCTCCGCCATCATGTTGCAGGGTTCGAACTTTACCCGCATACCTCTGCATGATCAAGTCCCTCCTATGGGACTCACTAGTACTTGCATTCGAACTTTTCCCTCGGTGGTACACAACCTCCATTTGCTGATGACCAAGGCTTTCATCTGATGCAAAATTCGATGCACGCATGGAAGACCCACCTCTACGGTACCATGACCTTTACTCCTTGAATCCATAGCCCTTCTTGTCGTTGTGTTGTTCACCGAAGTGAAGCTCCCAGTAGCTCTCGATCATACCTCCGTATGATTTAGTTTTTCGCGGGACTAGTTTTGTGTGTATCGCATTGCCACGAACTGTTCCACCACGATTTGCTGCGCAATGTCGCCTCTTGGTGACATCTCCATTGTATTTTGATCATTGTGGGATGAACTCGGATTGCGATCCCTCAATGTGTAGCTTCTGCCAACACATCGTAGGGCCTCTTCTACCTTCGATTATGTTTCACTGATAATCGACCTTCGTCCACCCGCTCTTGGGTCAAACTCAGACGAAGAACAACTCTAGAACATTTCATCGCTTAGTAGCTCTCGAAGTCCACCGACTTCGCTGAAATTGGTGCACCATTGTCTGGATCATGGGCCTCTACCCTCACTAGCACAATCTCCGTTGCGCATTGCTTCTTTCATGGCACTATGGCATACTTCAAGAGTACCCGCCTCCGCGTTCTCTTGCCCCGTGCCCAGGCCTTTTGAACCTAACTTCGCTTTCGCAAGTTGATTTGCCTTGGTTCCTCCGTCAAATGCTTCGTCGAGATAAGGTGCATGTGCCTCGAAGTTCTGTTCGTCTTTAGCACCATGTAGGATAAGTTCGCTCCATCAGAATGAGGGACCCATGAAACGACATGATCCTGCTTTTGCCTCTACAAGAGTTCATGTCCTTAACCTCT